ATATATTTCTTCTTACATATGTTGCATTTTAATGTGTTATAACCGATGAATTAGTCTTTTCAAAGTTAAAAATAATGCATTTAATTATTGAAATTAATTGATATGTGAATATTATGCGTTAAATTATACAAACTAAAGCGCACAATATATAAACCACACAATTCATCCAATTAATTTAATTTTAAATGCAAAAAATGTATTCAATGTATTCAAAAAAAAAAAAATCATTAACCCTGCAACGGAATCGATCGACATTGTTGAATATATCAAAAAGGTCAACAACAGTAAATGTGATACAAAAGAAAAAATGCTTTCTAGGCTTGATTCAAAGAATGTAATAATTAAGGACAGGAATGAATAGGAAGTAATATTGGATGATGAGTTCATCGTCGGAACTTATCCTGATTCAACAGGAAGGAGAATGAATGAGATTGGTAGCTCAATGATTGAATAATTGCATATACAGATGGAATCGTTGAAGAATCGGGTCACACTTCCTCCAACCATCTTTAGCCATATACCACTGATACATATTGCTACTTGCGCTCACTTCATTCCAAAAATTTCAAGAATAGTACTGAATTCTGCCATTTCTCATGAGCTCACTCAATCAATTTGAACTTACTTCTGTTCTTATTTTATTGTTTTATCCTGTATTTATCATTGGTAAGTGTCTTTTATTTTTTGGAATTACTAATTACTACAAAAGATATCAATGAAGTAAGCGATAAAGATCTCTTACGCATGATATTAGAAGTGATGATGTTAAAATTTTTGATAATTCCATTATATCATTTTGATAATATCATTTACTTGAAAGGTAAAATTCCATTCGCTAAAGTTAATTCTATAATATAGAAATATCATTGTATAAAAGTTAATTCCAAGATATTTGATTATGCACCCATTTTAATTGGTATTGAAATGATACTATCATTCTGATAAAATTGAAATGATCCCATCATTTTAATCAATTTCTTAATTTTCATTCTACAAAGGAAAACTTGTCATAACTTCAATTTGCATCATCCACAGGTATGAAGTGTGCATTACGAAATAAGATAATTTATGTTCGAAGTGAAGGTTATTATTCACCGGGAAGAGCACAAGCGATATTTCAAGATTTAACACTTTTGGAATGTGCCAATCAATGTACATCCAAAGTACAGGTGCAAGAAAATACTTTTAGTTGATGGAATATTATAAATAAAAAAATTTAGAAACAAAATATCTTATAACTTTTTGCAAACCTCAATGAATAAAAAAAACATAGTTTCTAATTAATTCAATTAAATTATTCGATAATATTAGTTCGCTTCAGTAGACTTTTCGATATCAGAAGCAAAGAAATTAGAATTAGAATTTCCATTTTTTTAATTTAATTACAAGGTATAGCTATATTCTATTTTAAAGAAAATATGTTTGCATTCAACCGCTGCATAATTCAGGGAGTAAATTGCACTTCATTTGAGTATGATACAATGCAACTGAGATGTGTACTGAAGGAGGACAGTGGAAGTTTAATGGATAATAATAGTAGTATGTCACCGTTGAAAACTGTTCATAGTACTGCATTATTTCGACAATTTTGTCTTCCTGGTACAGCTATTTTGAAATACTTTTTAGTGAAACAATAATTGACTTTTTCTAGAACTTTTGTTGTGTAACTAAAAGATCCTTCGCGTTTTACTTTCTTAATTTAACGTTAATATAAAGGTGGAAGTTGACGTGAAGTAGAAAATAATTTGAGCAAAATTAATTACTATTTGGTATTCAGCGATCTTATGATCACTCTTCCGTATAGGATTGAACTAAATTATTCCTATGATGAAAATTATGAATGCACTGTAGATGAGAAAAATTAGAGACAAATGTTGTTAATGGAAAATTTGTATAATATTAGTGGAATAAACTAAACAATGAGTAAATGATCCAAGCTAAGCAATACAAAATTTCTTCATTTCACAATCTATATTGATTTGAAACAGAGCAAATTTAATTATGAAATATTATTATGAATAAATGTTACACTCATTTTTCTTAATTGAAAAATTTCTTCTGCACATATTTCAGAAGAGGGAATATGTCCGTTACCATATACATTTGAACATCTTCCGGGACATGTTCTGATGGGAATTGCCAATGAGGTTTATTTAGTTTTTTACTTAGGATTGATTTTTTTAAAAAAAAAGTTGCCATGATGAATTTTGCATTGGTATTATTTTTAAGATATTATAGGTAATGCAAGTTGGATCTGTGGAAGAATGTTTAAGTATTTGCGTAACTGCTAAAAAGGTAATCGAAATCGAGTGCAGGTAAGGTTTATTGTAGGATTCTAAATTTGTTGAAATTAACAATCAAAAAATTAACCAATTTTTTTAGCATTTGTTTCTAAATTAAAAATTCTAATTCATTTCACAATCTATATTGGAATGAAATATTGAATGAGTAAAAAATTATTCCAATAATCTCTATAGGTGAGGATATTTCTTGAGAACATTAGATTTTGAAGAATAATTAATTCTAAGAAATACAATAATTCAGCAATTTTTGTCATTGCTGAAAAGTTCATAGGTCAGTGGTATATTATTACGATACCGGCGAGTGTATTCTCAATAATGAGAATCGAGCGACAAGTGCAGCTATGATAACTAATGATACAATGAATATGCGGGTGGATTATTTCGAAAATCGCTGCTACGATGGTTTTTTTTTAATGTTGCTTTATCCTTTTGACAAATAACTTTGAATGATGGAATATTATATCTTCCTTTTTCTACAGTATTTTTTTCGGAAAACTTGATTGAATCAGAAACGGTAGAGTAAGTAGTATTTAGGTATCATTCCAACATCTATCAGATCATTTAATCTTCATTTTCTTTATCAAAACTTACCAAATTGGAAATCGTAAATAATACCTGATTTTTTTCCTCATTTTTCTGACGAAAATAAATATTTTTTGGCCAGGGATAATAACAAAGCATCATTTCTATTTTACTAATTTTTAAAATCCTACAAAAATTTAGGTCATTTAGTAATTTTTAGGATCATCGAAGTTTCATTGTAAAATAATTAAGCAAAAATTTTGATGAATATTTTTGAATTTATAAATATTTTATGATTCAGCATGGATTTCATATTTACAGTGCAATGTTTAACTGATTTCACCGTACATTGGATTAAAGTGGGAAGATTTACAATCAGCGATAAATTGGAATATACTGTAATAAAACAAGTGACTAAGGAACAATGCTTCAATTATTGCCTTGTATTTGATACTAATTATTTTTTGAGATATGTTCAATGTTTAAATTGCCAATTAATAAGCTTTTGAATTTATGAGAATTTTTCATTTTAAAATTTAACTATTTAGGTAATGGTCACAATTCTTCTGATAAATGTAAAGTAATCTTTGAACAAATGCTATCATTTCTTTTTTTTCTCATGAACAGTTATCATTTGATCTTTTACTTTTAGGAAAATAAAATCAATGATCAACCGTTTCCATGCAAATTGTACGCATATAGTGAAAGTAAAATGATATGTCATTTGACCTCAGAATCTGGCTTAACACATTCAACAACATCTGATGATAATAATCAGAAGATATCTGATGATGATTTGGACAATTATGATTATAACGAAAAAATTTGCCTAAAAGGTAGCTTAACGTAAAATATATCCGCATGATAGCTAAATTTCTAGGCAGCTATTTACAATTCAGGCAGCTTTTTGAAAATATATTATGAATTTACATGCAGCGTAAGCTAAAATGAGCGATTCTATTACTAAACTTATATAATATAAGGAAAATTATTTACAGAATCGGAATTTCATTCTGATTTTTTTCACTATTCCTTAACTTCTTTATTATTTCTAATGCTTAAATTTTAATTTTTCTATATCTTCAGGTGCAATGCGATGTCAAGATATCAGTTTTGAACATATTTCACATCATGCTTTATTAAATATCGGAAATAAGGTTTGTCTATTTTTCATATCTACAATAATCATTTTTGACATAATCCTTATGATTCGATACTTATAAATATTACAGGTAGTAACAACAAGTATGACAAGCTGTTTAGAAATTTGTTTACGTTCCGGTAACCAATGTAATTCAGTGATGTATTTTCATGACAAGGTAATAATATATTCATTAATACATCAGTTATTTAGATAGAGGATGATAAAATAGATAAAGTGCAATGAGGTGGAAGAATAACAAGTAAATTCGATTCTATCGATGAAAGCTATAATCATGAACTCTGAAATATGATCAATTTATACTTGATAAAATGGATTTCTTTCAGGATGAATGTGTTTTGAGCAGAATGACACAGCATTCAACCGATGAACAACTTCGATACTTTCCGGAAGTTGGTCATTCAGGATTATTTCTAACTAGTCATACATCCTATACAAATTAACTATCTGCTACTTACATAGTTTTATAACAGTTCATTGCATTGAATTGTGATAAATTGATGACAGCAGCGGTGTCATAAAGTTTTTTTTCGAATAAATGCACATAGAGGTGAATGCTGAAATTGAAAAGTTTCCTGAAAATGGTAAGTTTATTTGTTAATTGATAATTTATTCATAATTGATAATTTATTTGTTACAGGTGGATTATTTCGATAATGTATGTGATTATAAAATTGCTATAAATATGTCCATGGAGAATAAAATGATCGAAATGTCGACACCAACAATGTATAAACAATTAGATGGTATCAAAAACTTACTGCTATATGGAAGATAATTATTATCACTTAGTGATAATTTTGGTTCTTTCAGCATCAACAAATATGAAAATCTTGATCTAAAAGCAATTTATGGAAGTTGGATAATCAATCATTTCATTTGTTTACTGTTTATGAGAAAGAGTTGAAGTGAAACCGTTAAAAGTTTAGTAAATTTTAATGAAAGAATATTTGCAAATGGAAAATGCATTAAAAAATTTATGAAATTATATCGTATTTAGGATTGGAAACAGAATGTGGTGCAGCTGGCATTTTAATATCTGTATTGTTTTCCAAACCTACAGTTGGTGCAATATTTATCAAAGATCATTTTGCAACATGTCGTTCTGAATTTAGCAATACAATGAATGCAACAATGGAAATTGCACTGTCCACTCTTCGTCAAGATAATCCACCATGTCCTGGCTATGAAACTGTTCGTTTTATCATAAAGCTTAAATTTTTAATTTTTTTGATGTGTTCACTTTAACAGGATCATAAATAATATTACAGTATTGTAAGGACTAAATTCATGGAATAGATTGGTAATGATTGCATTATACAAAATAAATTCAGATAATTATGTTAAATTATATATGTTATTTCACTGCATATAATCCATCCGTGCTTAGAATCCTTCGATTTGGTCTTTTATTGTGGTAGTCCAAAAGAATGGTCTTGGAATACCGGAACTAATGACTGACAAAGATCAGGTATTCAACATTACTTGCGATTACTCAAATGGTCAAACTACAAGTAATTCGGTTCAAGACAGAATGTATGTTAACAATTTACTTATATGTTATGATGATTGAAAGAACTTTTGTTTTATTAGATAATAAGCATTCAAAAAGTTCAAGCTATCAACGTGAATTATGGGAATTTTGATTAATTAGTTAATTGAATTCAAGAGAAAATTTACATACATATTGCATTATTGATTGTATTGTGATTTTATCACAGACTTTTGCAAGAACCATCACGAGATTGGTCATCTATTCCCGCTTCTAATGACCACGTCCAATTAACGGTATTTCGTGGTGATCAGCCAGTGAGTACTGCTGTTATGGGCGAATTATTGGAAATGAGATGGACAGTGGTGCAAGATCGTACAGATAATGTTGGGTTATTCGTAAATCGATGTATCGCAGAACGTTTGGATGGAACGCCACCTTTACCACCTCCACTTACTCTTATTGCTGACGGGCAAGTACTGCTTATACTTATTAGTATTTTGTTATAATATTAGATTTTAACCAATATCACAATCTTGTCTTTGTTGTAATTCTTATCATTGCTTTCTCTAAACTTTTTTGGCACCTTGGATGAGTTAATCCAAGATTGAAAACTTCTATCTATTGACACTTTAAAAGGTCAGCCAATATCCAAAATGCTCCTAAAAGTTGTTGCTATGCAAGAAAAAAAATTCTATGTTCACTCAAACAATTTTTAGGTGTATTGATAGTAAAGTGAAACGGGTATTAATGCAATATCCGATTATACAATTTGATGGTGGTTTGAGGACTAAAATTAAAGTTTTTCGATTTGACGGATCACGTCGTGTTCGAATCCTTTGTTCTGTGGATATTTGTATTGAAGAGTGCTTACCGGTCTGTAATTCCAAGCTTTGAATTTTTTAACATAAGGAGAAGGTAGAGATTTTTCTTTTCCAGAACAACTGAGGGAAAATAAGCATGAACTACAATATGATATGGTTGGTGAAGATCGAAAGCAAATTATAACTTTTTAATAGGAATAAATTCAAGCTTAAGTTTAATATATTTTAATACATTGAATCTTTTAAGTGGAAAACAAAATAAATTTTATGTGTTGCTAAAAAATTCTAAACAGTAGGATATTGTAGTAATATAAACATGATCTTCTTTCAACTTTATCGTTTGTTGCGCTATGTTAATTATAGGTTACTTGTGATAAAGAAATCAGTGGCAGTTTGCCAAATTCTGATAAAAAAAAACGAGAAACTTTCACTTCACGGCCTCAACAAGTAAACAAGTTTATATGCTCTTCCTTTTTTTTTCAAATCATTGAAAGCTTTCAGAAGTCAAATCAATTACAGCTGTTGAGTTAGTGTTTATGACAAGTCAGTTTTGCATATGATATGTATTCGATTAAAAAATTTAATTTAGACCTCAGCCCAACAAATTAAACGACAGCTCATCACTGGGACCTTTACGATTGTTGAAGAAAATGTTGATTTAGTACTTAACGAAAGTGCAACGAAAATTGATGAGCAATTGCTAAATATGAGTAAGTTAATTTTAGTATTTTGCAAAGTTTATTTTTGAGAAAGAGCAAAATAGATATGCTTAATTTGCTTCAACAATTTTTCAATTTCATTTTTTATTAGACAAAATATCTAAAAATACGTGGTTTTAAAGCCAACGCTAAACTTTATATCTATCCATTTTCGGTCAAATTTTAATTGAAATTAATAAATCTCTTTGTAGATTTGTTACCATTCCAATTTTCTGGAAACGACCACTTTTGTATTCAAAGTTTCGTATTCTTTATTCTTGTTGCAATCACATTAATACTTTTAACGATGCAAATCTTTCTGCTATGCAAGCATACATGGCTTAAAAATCGGTGATCTGTTTCTTACGGTATGTTGTTATCAAACATTGTTAAGCATTTATGTATGCAATAAGGAAAAATTTTAATTATTTGTCATTGATTTATACTTGCAATATTTTATCATTAATTGAGTAATAATTTTATTAAAAGAATTTATTAAAACAAAAAAGTAATAATAACAGATTTCATCATAAAATTAATATTATTGATAATAATGATCTGTTGATGAAATTTTCGCAGAGTTTCTTTAGATAATGAAGGTAGCTGCAATATCATATCAGCTCCTCAACGTATTTACTTTGGTCATGAAGAGTATTGTCCCGTGGAATCGCATGCAATACTATCCAAAATAATCAGGCAGAAAGACCTAAAATGAAAATTATTTATTTATTTACTTTTTTTTTCATATTATCAATAATAAATAAATAACTTTGTGGTTATTTATTTATTTTTTTTCATTGATTTAATCCATTTCAGTTTTTTATTATCATTTTACAAATGATAAGGGAATTAAGGAAAAATAAAATTAGTAGTATCATTATTAATGCATTTAAATATGAAATTTTTATTAACTATATATATATATATATTATTTTTCATCTGTAGTGATAATTTATTGTGATTTCTTAATTCACATTTGGCGTAACGAATTTTCAGGACACAACGAAATGAGAAGGATATCAGTGATAAAGAGATATGCTTTTTTGTAGCATAATATATGGCATGTATTGCAATATTACAAAAAAAGAATACACGATATTATAGAAAAGTATATGATATTATAAAAAAAAAGTATACGATATTATAAAAAAGTATACGATATTATAAAAAAGTATACGATATTATAAAAAAGGTATACGATATTATAGAAAAGTATTTATTGCTTAAAAAAATGATTAGAAATGTGTTGAAAGACTAAAATAATCATTCTTTGCGTATTTTCTTTTTTCTTATTTTTTGAAATTTCATTTTCTTTTTCTTTTTCATGCGATACATATCATTAGCTCTCTCATTTATGTATTGCATAATTCTGTTATGTTCATGGATAACGTATATCGCCAAGTTTTTAAATATATAGGTATATATACCTATATATATATATACATGTATATTCTCATCGTGTTTTACAAATTTTTTTAGCAAGAAGAAAAAATGAAGCAAATTGGGATAATAAATTTTAAAATATTAACTTATGATATTAATGTGCTTAAAAAAACTTTGTGAAGTAGAAGTGTTTTTCTTTTAATTTTGAAAAAACAATTGGGAGATCAGCTTGAATTTTCTAGCAAAAAAGATTTGATTAATGGATTTGTGAAAAGGATTAGATAATAGGAGTAAGGCTATCATATGGCTCATTGCTAATAAAGATTCGTCAATTTTGTGAGGCAAATAAAATTGAATTTTCCTGAATTGTTCATCAAAGCATATACATGTCATCCACTTTATCGTGTCACTTTCATTTATTCTGGATATGAAATAACGTCACAAATAAATTACCAGCTATTTAACTCTCTATTGCTTCAATTGCTTTTCCTTCTAAAAATTTCTTCAGTTCATAATCGAACCTCATCATTGAGTTACTACTCTATTCTATCCTTTTATCTTCCCATTATAGTTATTCATTGGATTTGCTCATTTCTTTATCACTTTTAGAATTCCAATCATTGTGTGAGAATTTTATGATTCAACTAGAATCACTTAGCTATGAAATCTTTAAATAAGATAATTTAAAACAAAGCTGAAAGCAATGATTGACATAGTTAATATTGAATTTATGAGTTCACTTTGCAAACTATGAAATCACATTGCTAAGAATTCTTATTCAAAAAGTTTGTAGATGACAAGAATGATAATTCTTAATGTTTATCATCAAATATTTTTAATGTGGAATATCAAGACTAAATTATAAAGTAGTCGAGTAAATTCTAAAACAATTTTAATTAACTTTTCGGATGTGCACTATTCATACTAATATAATTTGAATTAATTTTAAATATCAGACTGATCTGAATAAGAAGGAACTGTAAGTATAATTTTAAACATTTATACTTATATCTAAAAATTACTTGTGAATCGGTGTATACAGGAAGAAAAATTGGTGCCATTAGCTGGTCATAATGAAACTGGTATGTTTTTCTTGTTAGACTTGAATAATGATAATAATAATTATAATAGGTAAGGGTAACTGAAGCATGTTTTCTGGTCCATAGGAAAATCCACATAAAGTGATCATTATCATTTCAAAAGTATGATTGAAAAGAAAGGGACGAATCTTCGAAATTTAGAGAATTTAACTCTTTAAGTTTATTTCAGCCTTTGCAATATTTTCAACTTTCTTGAAAATAAGAAATTACAAGCCTATATTTAAGGAATTAACTGCACGAAAAATTGAAGTACAATTTGGTTCACAAGAAGAGGGATCAGAAGAAAATGAGCAAATGGATTGGTTCACCGATCGTCGTGCTGCAAATTTCCGAGAACGTCGAAGAATGTGTAGTATTAATGTTGCTTTTATGGTAAATGATTTTTATTCATTGTATTAATTTATTCTATCTTTGATAAAAATTCGAAACTGTTATGAAAATTTTTTTCAGGACTTCTAAATTATATTATTTATCTCTATTTAAGGGAAACAATAAAATTAATATATGATTTGCTTTAATTGCTTGATTTGATGAAAAATAAAATTCAATGACATATGTGTTTTCCCTTAATTTATATGAATTGCTTGATATGTAATTTATTTTCCTCTGGAAAATAAATTACATATCAAGCAATTCATATAAATTAATTCATTAATGTGCTTCATTTAAAAATTATTTGATAATAAAAATTATCAAATATTTTATTTTTGATAATTTTTATTTGATAATTTTTTTTTTTATTTGATAACAATTATTTGATAATTTTTATTATCAAATAATATAAGTATTGTAATCATTTGACTGATAATAAAAATTACTGCATTGATAAGAAACTTTCGGCATCATATAGTTACTTATAAGTAATGAAGTGATTAGCAATAAATTATCAACCAATGTTAATAAGCAAAAAAATTAATGAGCAAGTGAAAAATCGTGGGTTTTTGATTACGAATTTTCCAGTAAAGATATTTTATTATTTCTCTTAAACAGAGGAAAATAAATTACAAATCAATTCATACTCACAAATTAATTCATTAATGTGTTTACATCTAAAAGCTGAAGACATTTGAATGATAATAAAAATTATTGCATTGATATGCTTTGCTTACTCTTACTTTTCCTCCAAAGCTTAAGCTTATTTATGGAACGCATTGGAGAAAAGCTTTGTATTAGAAATAGAGAATCGATATTTCTTAATCATTCTAACATCAATATTCATAGCTCATGCTTGAGATCGTTTTTGAAACAATATTTAATTTAATGAATGAATAAAATAACTAATGAAACAGAAGCATGAATATATTAATTATATTACGCTTTCTGTGGAAAATAATATTTACAGGAACTACGACGATTTATCCCAACATTTCCATACGAGAAACGTCTATCCAAGATAGACACATTGAATCTAGCAATTGCATATATTTTACTTCTTGAAAATCTATTGAACAGCGATCATCAAAATATGCATGCCTATTTGAAGGAAGCTCTTGTAATGGTACGATCCGGAAATCCACAAGCGCCACCCTGGAGTACCAGCGGTTTGTTACTCCCTTTTTTATGCTGATGAAAGTTTTTGATGAAAAAGAGACTGATAAGATGCATAACGGATCTTCCATTAGCACCAATTGGGTAGTTTAGTGTTTGCTCAGCGTTAAATCCAACAGTTATATTACAGTAAAACTTTATGTGAATGAATCAGCTAATTTCATGCTGATATTTTACAAAAAATTTTCATAATTATTTTAAACTTTTTTGAAAAATAAGAGTATAACTTTGATCATATTTTCCATCACATATCATCCTTTCCAATCCAACTCATTTATTAAATTTTAATTCAAATATATTACAGATCTTATAGCACGTCTTAGTTGGATTAATTGGAAAAAACTGGGCATTAAACCAATGTGATACAATACGTTACCGTAAATTCTTTATGCGATAAAATGAAACTGAAAATTTTTTAAATAAACAATAAAAATATTATGGATTTCGTGCTTTTCCACCGAATACTTGTTCAACACCCGTTAAAATTGCATTTAAACTGAATGGATCATCCGGATTAGTGCAACGTGATCCGATCAAGGAATCCTGAAAAATTCATTTATGGACATGTGAAAATGTTAACAATTGTAGAAGGAAATAAATTATTACTTGTTTATAGCCGCACAAACATTGACAAGTACCAAAGCGACATTCTGAGAAATTTGGACATTGTTTATTGGTCACACATCTCTCAGATAGATATACTCGTCGTACACATTTATCCATAACAGAAACTTCATCAATTCCACAACTTTTCTTACATGTTGCAAACCGACCATCATTACTCTGTAAGAAATTGATGACATTAAATCATTCACAACAGTGAAATATGCGGAATGTCCAAACTGTGTTGTTGCGGGTCAATATCATTGTTAATTAATTTGCACAAATATGAAAATGATGACTAAGCTCTACTAGTCAGTTTACACTATAATTAAAATATCTCACCAACGACATCGTTTTGACAGTACTGTAGAGAACCACAATAATATCATTGTTCAGGATGCGAGCCTTTTGTTGAAGCAGTATTGCTCAGAAAATCCATCAATACCCTAAAAGCGCCTTTTCAAGCCTATTTCATTGTAGAAGTTTTGATTTTTGGTGTTCAAATTTACAACATTGGAAGGGATGGCAATAACTGATTGCAACAAATATCGCAATAACATATCATCCCTTTCCACCCAGTTTCATAATCTTTCTGTTAACAAGGTCATATTTATTTCAAAACAGTTACAGTAGACGAACTGCTCCGATAAAATAACTGATCATTAATAAAGTAAAGCTTAGTCATCTGAAAAAAAAGAATATTATAGAAAAGTATCATATTTTGTATCACGCAACAACGACAGTTAAGACATATCGCATTATCCCACGTTCTCACGTCTGATTCCTAATACTTACGTAACATACAACTTTCTATACTTAAAATCATAGTTGTGGAATATTTCAATGTTTCATTTAGAAAGTTTCAATAGCCTTTCGGAATTTCATTTCAGTTACAATAAGAATGAAAAAAAAAGAAATAAGCAAATGTAAAACGTTTCATTTACAATTACCAAAAATTGAAATACTTATCCTGCGATAGTTGAAAATTGTATTGTTTTATCACATACAAAAAATTAATTCAAAAATTTTTGTTAAAAAATTTTTAGATAAATTGAAGATGAAAAAAAAAATGTCGTACTATTTAAACGAATTGAACTATGCTATAAATTTCAACATTTTTATTGCCTCATTTTTATGAATAAATTTAAATGTCAAAATATCTGGAAGTATCGAAACAAATAACTACTATTAAATGCATCCTTTGTAAAATTTAAATGATAATTTACAGGATGAAAACCATCTTTGCATTGACATAGTCCCAAAACGCAATGCATCGTTACACCACCTTCGCACTGAAATTGCAAATTTGAAATTATCATAATTAATTATTTCAATCTAAAAGCTTTGCAAATATTATTATTCTCCGTTAAATGTATCGTTAAATGAATATTATTTAAGATAAAGTATACTCTTCACATGCTCATTGTTTATTAAAATGAATATAATTTAGCGAGGTAAAAGGTAGAGAGATCAATAAGTTAACGGAATGAATGAAAAAAAAGGAGACCTGTTGATGAAGCTGACAGGGATCCTCCCTATGTGCTATACTTAAACATTGATTATTAATATAAAGCGGTGTTGGATCGCGACATGGCTTTGGACAACATAAACTCGTTTTCCAACCAGGCTCCGAGATTGTGTAACAGTGATGGGTAAGTGGTCGACATCGATCTTTCTCGGAGACGCCCATATCACACGATTGCCTTAAATTTTGGAAATTGTGATCTTATTTATAATCATAATCAGCTGTATACTTATGCAAATAAACTTAAATATTCCAATTTCAAATAAAATTTTTTCCTAATTTGTTGGGAAAAAAAGAAACAAAAATGATAAAATATACGTTAAATCAGGTTCTCCATAAGGACACTTCAATTTGCAGCAATGTCCCACGTACGGACTACCGTACGCTACGCATCGATAACCCAAAGGACAGCTATCAGTTGATGCAGCATTTTCAAGCATATCAACATCATTAATAAAAAGTCGTCGACAAGCTTGTTGAGGTTGTGTTCCATCCGGACATACTGGAAATCTTTCATTGGAAGCAATTGTAAATTCACTTCAATTTCCTATATATTTTTATATAACTTTAAACATATGATTAAGTTTGTACTAGTATAGTACGAAAAAAATTTTTTTTAATTTTTAAGTTCTTTGTAATAGTTATCAATTTGTATGTTACCAATTAAAAATGTTTGGAACTACCTGTTACCTTTACAATCTCAGATATATGTTAATTATGGATAAAAATGTTCATTTGTATTAATTAGACAAATTTAAATTTCCTGCAAACATACACGCAAAACATTGCTGTTTGATCACATCACGTGTGGTACCGGGCGCACATTGACATACTCCAGCAATACAAGCATTGAAAACATCAACACATTGGTTGTCTTTCTCGCAATTCTGTCCCCAATGTGCTACTCTTTGACATTCCACACCGTATAATTGTTGTCCCGATGGGCAAGCTAAAGTATAGCTCTTTATATTTTTCAGGATATTCGAATAAAATTTATGAACAAAAAAGAAAACTTTTAAATTTAAAATCAACATGAAAAAGCTTACACACGACACATTCTCCGTTGATAATGCTACCACCCCAACACTCACATTTCCCATCTCGACAAAGAAGCGGTGGTTTGCAATCTCTTTGACAGCTATCACCAATTTTATTCGGAGCTAAACAAAACTATGATTTAAAATATCGAAAGCTATTAAGAAACACTAATTAGCAAATGAATTGAAAATTTTATTAGCTAAAAAATCCTGTAAGCCAATATATACATTTATAAATTAACAATTTCTGCGTACAACCATTCATGATCGTTTGAGAATTTTTAATTTTAAGAAAAATTAAATTATATTTTTAAATTAGTCTAGCAGTTCTTTCCATTAATTATACCATTTAAACAAACTTTTTCTAATTTAAATTAATATAAAGGAATATATAAAATTGCTAAATTAATTGATATATTTTCAGTGAAAGCTAAGAACAATTAAATTAATGATTAAATGATACCTAATCTGCATATAGTTGTCTGTCCATCAATATCAAATTCTTCGAAATTTGTAGGGCATGTACATCGCTGCTCTCGACAAACACTATTCATGCCATAACAATCTTCATCAAATAAACATTTACTACCAATTAGTTTCTCTGTAATTTGTGTACCTTTTATAAATGTTGATTTGTTAAATCAAATTTTGAAATTAAAATTAATCTAATTAATATCAATTTAAGGAAATTTTCTTTTATGAAATCTTGACATTAGCATATTATAACTTATTACTTATTACTATAAATTCTATTTATAAGATTTCATGTCATACACAATCATTCCCTGTTTCCTATTAAATCTAATTTAGAAATAATCTTAAATGATTGGAAAAAAAAATTGATATAATGGAAGATGTGCGAATCGATGAATGCTATAACTTACGTGTGCAAGGTACATCAAAACCGTAAAAAAGTTTGATGAAATGAAGTAAAGCTATTGTGATGACACTCAAATGGTACGTCGCCATTTAGATTCAATAGAATCAGTCGTTTCGATAACATGTGTGCATGTATGTATATATATATATGTGTGTGTGTGTGTGTGTGTGTTTCTGCATGTGGTAGATGTATGCGATGAAGAATGAATGCATTACACCTTCAGGGAGATCTGGGTCGGTGAGCGACCATCAATGTGACAAGTTTTTCTCCTATATATATATCGATAATCATACATACCTAAAATGACATGAACACACACATACACATACATACATACAAATCGGTTTCAGGATAGCAATTGTTTTATATCATATTTGTTAATTACCTGGCGAAATTTATGATATTATTAAGGAAGTTACCTGCAGGAAGCTAAAATTGATTTGTGATTTTGCATTTGAAGAGTAAAAATATGAAATTTTGGAAAAGAACTCAATGAGTAGAAATTATTAATGGAATTTTTATTGTTTTTAAAATATTCGAAATATTTGGCTTTTGCATTAGAAGAAGAAGAAGAAGGATTAATTCAAACTTTTATTCATTATTTTTACATTTGTAATGCAAGGACATTTTAATCTAAGCTTACCTGCAAGGACATTTTAATCTAAGCTTATCTTAATCAATCTAAATGAGTTCGTTCCTATTTTATCCAACAAATGATGAACGCTCTCTGTTCATCTCAATGACTGATGAAAAAATTCACTATATATTGAAATTATGATAAAACTTCTTTATAATAAAACATAAAACTGAGCATGTTGAATTATCTCCAAAAATATAAATCTTGCCAGTCATTTTCTTGCAATTCATAGCAATACATACTGTCAGTACTGTTAAATAGCATGATGTAACATTTAAATGATTGCTAATACTTTTTTAGTAGACATTGATGTGTTTCAAAATGGGAATCGATTTTTCGTTACTGTAAAAACATTTATACAAATGTTTTATATTAAGATATCATAAGAATACAAGTTTCTAATAATTAAAACAATTAGTATTTTTGTTCTTTTATTTCTGTGGAAACATTAATTTCCTGTAATAAATAGTTGAAAACGTAAGCCAAAAAATATATCATTTATGACACATTCTTCATATATCATCTCAAAAGAGATAACAGAAATTCTTTTTTAAAGAAGACAAAAAATAACAGAAAATTTGAATTCCTGCTCAGTAACATATTTGTGCTATAATTAGTCATTCATTCGTTAGTAATTTAAATTAACGTCTGATATATCCTAAACAGTAAACAAAATTTCAGCTTTATTGGCTCTAATAATGAATAAGCATAATAAATAAATATCAAAAGAATATTTCCTTTTATTTTCTACAAATTTTCGAAATATCTTCAAATTATTCTAAATTGCATAAATATAAAAGAAATTATAATTTCCTCTTCCTAAAATTTCATTTTTCATTTGCTATCCAAACAAATAAACATTTATCAATTATCAACTTATTCCTATTTATTATTCAAGTAAATGAATTAATTATACCATTTTCTTAAATACATCACGATTAAGAGAAGAAATTTATGAAGATTTGAATCTAAATAATTATTTGATAGTTTTTTCGTTTTTCAGAAACCGGTTTTATATCATATGTAGTTTGTGTTGATATCGTGATGGAAGAGAATGGATCAGCTTCATTTGAAAAGAAAGAATGAAACAATAGAAAGAACAGTGGCAGGCAACAAATTAACTAAACCTCAGAAACAGGAGGAAAGGAAATAGAAAAATGGAAAACGATATATTATTGATAGATGATAGTTAAGTTTTAATCGATTGAATTCGATTTGATTTGAATATTTACTGTACACTTGTTTGCTTTATTTGTTGCAATTTTTACATTAAAATTTTCTAAAAATCCTGCCAGATTTGGTTTAAAAAAAGAAACAGAAATTTATATATTAAGAAAAAAAGTATAAGTATATCATATGAAATAGATATTTCCCTCATTCATAACGTGTTTTATTATGTAAAATTCGGATTTTTATCAATTTTTAACTATAATTAATTATTTAGGAAAAATTTATTAAATTTAATAAAAAATAACTGATAATAAATTATTTGCATGTAATTTATTTTAAAGAATCCAGCAGATAACAGTAGGATCTGCATCTGCTAAATGATAATGATCACATAATTATTGGACATGATCAAAGAGGGAGTGTTACTGAGGAAAGTGATAAGTGAATGGTAGAAATGCTCCGAGTCTAACGTTGGCGATATAAGATTGTGATACGTATGCGGGAGCAAGAATTTAACGCCATTCGCATCTGTATCCTTCGATAAATTCGCAACGGAGGCTCGGAGCCACATGATTGATAAGACATATTATATGAGGAGTACATATGCTAGAAAGAATCCCATCCTCGAAATAATAAAAAAAATTAAAGAAAGGAACAGAAAAGTTGCATTGCTATACATCATGCATTTTCCCGTCCTTATTATCACAATATTTATTCCATAAAGTTTTTGCAAGCTCATAACAGGGTAACTCTCCAGCATGTGTTGCAACCATACGTAATAAGAAAACACCATCTTGTCTGAGGAAATGAAATACGAAACGTCGTAATGATTGACTGTCTACCATTTTGTAACCCTCAATACCTGTCAGATATTTGCCAACGAAATTCAGTTGCCTGTAATTGATACCAAATAAATGATTGTTAACGGTTGGGAAATTATTGCTAAGATGAACGATCAAGTGATGTTTTTTAAAAACAAGAATATGTGTGCCAAAATTCTGGATATTCCTCATGAGCTTGATAATGTTAATTACGACCAAGCAGAACGAACTCTACCAATTAAATGGCAAACAGTAACATTATAAAGTAGTAGGAGTCCAGATTGAAAAACTTAAAATATTTATCATATTCCCGGTTATATCTCGATACCATTTAGATTATCACTGAAATTTCAACTTATTCTAACAAAGTCAATTGAGTAAAAAATTACAAGAAAGTGTAGTAAACAAGACATTTTTAATATATCCCTAAGTAGTTTTCGTGAATATGAAATATTTAAAAAACAAGCCTGCTAGGAACAATGGAAATATATATCCAATATAAAAGAGAACAAACTGTGGCACCAGCTAGCAGAAAATACCAAAACCATAGAAAGAGGAATATTTTCTCGTTGAACATGTTGATCATGAGAACGCATTGCACTGTATGTCGATGAACATTTCCTAGCACCTAAAAAGGAATTTTTGAAAATAAAATATGAATTAAAAAAATATAGAAAATTGAAAGTGCTAATAGGATTAAAATGAGTTTAATTAAAATTCATTGATTCTTTGATATACAACTAATCCTACAATAAGACATGTTAAGCAATAGAAAACAACAAAGCTGTCATCATTTAGGAAATAATGATATCATCCATCTTTAATGGTTTTGTTTTTTGTTTCCATTGCTGAAAGACGATGTGATAAAGTACCGAGATGAGAAAAACAAAAGATTAGTGTAGATGATTGAGATAGAGCTCTAATAGATATTAATGAAGGATTAAATTGATAAAACAATGATTTATTAAGTAAATAAGTTAAACATGAAGAATTAAAAAAAATGAAATTAAAAGAATTAAATAATCATCTTTGCAATGTTTTATGTGATTACATACATCACTATTAACCTTTTAATTTTATGTGTTATATTCGATATTTATTTTTATGCCATTTTTTTCATAATGTTTCAATTAGTTTTGCTTTTTCACTGAAACTGACATGTAACAATTGTGCATATAAATATCTTGCAAAAAAGTTAAATGCCTTACTTTCACTTCAAAATCGCACAACGTAACACGTGGAAAACGACCGGATTCTTCCCATTCTCGTCCATTCATTAAATCATTCAGCACCTATCAAATGAATCTTATCATTGTTATGAATCATCAATTTTTTTCGTTGTTATCATAATTTCTATCATCTTATATTATTACAGCTATAGGATAAAGTATCATCAGTTTTGTTACCTCTCAAACATTAAGAACTGATATTTCAGTCTTATTTTTCAGAACTCAACGATACTTTTAAATTTCTAGAACGTTTAATTAATTCTGAGAATGCAAAAATGAATGTTTCATCCGTTCATTTCAAAGATCAAAAAGCACTTTTGAAAAAAACAAAAATTTTTTTGACTAATTTTTATAGCTTGATAAGATTTACTTTTCAGAGACATATTTGTTAACTCAAAGAAAAAAAGAAACAAATTAAAGTGATCAAAATTTATAATTGGCCAACATTTCACAATGTTTATTTCATAATAGAGAATGCATATTTGAAAGCCAACCTGTAATCCATACCATTTGCTACGATTTCCCAAAAATGTATTGAGTAAGAAAATCTGTCCAACAATATTCACCGTATAAAGGATTTTCACCGAAATGTACAAAAATGTTACAGCGGCACCACTACTGCGGGTACAAATAATCAAATTTAATAATTTCAAACGATTTCCACCCATCTGAAAGAAAAAAAATGATAAGCTCCAAAATCCAACGATACAGGAAATTCGTATTTCTTTTAATATTGTGAAATCATCAAAGATCAAAGTGATTATGCTGACATCATTTTTAAGATTTGTTTAACAAATCAAATTTAAAGCATTCATAATAAACATGCCAAAAATTTCTAATCAACATACAGATGAAAAAAAATTAACAAATTTCAAAAAATTGAAATAACTCAACAGTTTGGTGAAAAAAACAAACCACTTGATGTTTTACATGAAGTGCCTCCTCAACATTTGTAGCAATCGTTTGCAAGGCCCTATTCCTGGAATCAAGATCCAACAATCGTGAGTCGCATGCCATTTGCACCAATGATTGCACATGGATTCCTGGAAATTAATTTAGCGATCAAAAAATGAGCAAAGTGAATAAGCAGGATGGGAATTGAAGAATTCAGAAGCATTCATTCGTTGAGAAATCAAAATTCGAAAATAATTTTCCACTTCACCTTGTATTCTTCAAAGGCATAAAAATTGTTATATGGTGATAGAAGAGAAAATTCTTTTTTTGTAATTCTT